TGTGTATAAATTGCTTCATTTCCTACATTAAGTTTCTAAATCTCTTAGAGTTGCTGTGTTTTTTGTCACTGAACTGGTCTGCGTACGGGTGTCAAGTGGACAGTCAGGTAGCATCTTAAACAGGTCGTGGCCTCTGAGCAGTAGGCCAGGATTTGGTAGCTGGTGCTGAAATCAATTCTCTCCTGCAACACTCCCATTAGCAACCTCTGTGCTTTCTGGGACTATTCTGGGAGAGAAACAAACTGTCTGCTGTCCTTTTTTTTTTTTTTACTAAATTTGACCCTTTTCTGTATCTTGCTTCCTGTGTTGTATACATAATGTATCACATTTATCATAAACTCGTATCTCTTTCCCTTCCCTTCCTGTCTGACCTCATTGCCTGTTCTCTTAAATCTTTATCTTTTCAATGATATAGGTTGTGCGGTCGCAGCGCGCCCTGCCCCAGAGACAACAGACAGGAAAGCTGTACTTGGTCGACTTGGCTGGGTCTGAGGACAACCGCCGCACGGGCAACCAGGGCATCCGTCTGAAGGAGAGCGGTGCCATCAACCTGTCTCTCTTCACTCTCAGCAAAGTGGTGGACTCTCTTAACTCTGGCACTGCCATCCGCGTGCCATACAGAGACAGTAAACTGACACGGCTGCTACAGGACTCTCTGGGTGGCTCAGCGCACTCCGTCATGATCACCAATATTGCGCCCGAGTACAAATACTATTTTGACACCTTTAGCGCACTCAACTTTGCTGCCAAATCCAAGCTCATTGTGAACAAACCTTTCACTCGTGAAACTGTGGCCTTGCCCGTACTGCCAGGTAAGTGAAGCTGAGTAAGAAGTACTTGTTTCATTCTGAAGACTTGTAAGTATAGAAAGAAATTTAACAGGCAGAAAAGCGGAAGCTCTGACAGGATTAGATCTGAGGCCAATAGGGGGCACCCAAGTCACATCCCAGAGGATGATGACTAAGAGTAACCAGCCACATGTCTCTGGACACGATGGATGTCTTGTTAAAATGTAAAAGTTTACTGTTTTTGTGCCTTTCCTCTTCTATAGCTTTGTCTTAAATACATCCCTGATGCTGTTCTGGCCCTGCAATGCAGCCTTGACTGATGCTGTGTCATCTTCATCTGAATTGCTTTACACTCTGGAGAACCCCACAAACAGTGTTGCTTCAGTGCACTGAATACTAAACTGTTAATTTCCCTTCTGCCTTCATCTCCAGTGAAGCGGGCCAGAGAAGACCACGAGGCACGGGGGTCTGGCACTGAGCCACAGAAGAAGAGGCAGAAAGACGAGAGGAAATCTGAACAAGATGGTTCCTCACCCTCTGCACATTTTAACAGGTAAACGACCACTTCTGGCCAATCGTACAGGGACTTTAATCCTTGATAATAATAATGCCAGTGCATCTGCCCAAAGCTACCACATCAAATTAAATCCATACAACTTAAAGCAAAGCCTCAAAGCAGTGTGGGCCAAGATTTTATAGCTTGTACTGAAAGCAGCTCTCTCTGCAGTGCTCCCATTGGCTACAGCTGCTGTGTCTACTGGGAGCTCTTTGGGAGAGACACAAGCATTGCTTTCTTGCCATCTGTTATTTAGGTGTACATCTGTCTGAGCTATGAATTTTGGCAACTTGTGATAACCTAATGACTTCTGAGTGTAGTTCAAAGCCCCTGACTATACCCCCCCCCCACTTGTCTTGATTTGTTTGTCTCTTTCAGTCTGTCAGAGCCGTCAGTAATGGACAGACTAATCGCTCTGGAGAAGCTGATGATGAACTGCCAGGACAAAGATAGACTTGGGATGCTGAAAGATGTGGCCCAGTCTCGCAAGGAAATCCAGGTGATAAAACACACCTATATTAGAACTTAAGTTTATCCACCAGGGACACGTAACCCTGCATACAATATAGGTTGTGATCATTCAGATCTCCACCTGGCCAACCTTCTGTCCGTACGCGATTTTACCAGATGCTGATCCTGTTGGATCTTTTATACCGATCGATCAACTCTTCTTCATGGATATTTGATAGCCAACCTTGCCGCCCTTCTTGTTTGCGCAGGAGCTCAAAGAGAAGCAGAAGGAATTTGAGAGCAAGGCCATGCAATTCAGCCACTTGACTGGAGAAAAGTCCAGTGCCAAACAGGAGCCTGCCTTCAAAAACAATACGGCTCCTCTGCACAGAAAACCGTCAACTGCCACAAAACCAAATAAGCAGCAGGCTGTGGTCCAACCCCTACAAGGTCAGTTAGAAACTAAAGATGGGACTGCAACTTGATGCAAAGAACCAGAATATTTACTGTAGACCTATCAAATGACTTTAAATCACCCTCGAATGTGCTGTATTTATATATAAAAAAAAAAAACTTGAAACGTTTTTTTGTATCGTGTAATCCTCTGTTGTTAATGTCAGTCACTAATTTTGTCATGTTGAATCACTGGAGCTATTGATGAGCTGCAATGTGATACAAGAGCTCAGTCTACAATTCAGCAGCCAGAGATTGTATCAAATGATGATGATGAGGAATTATTTTTACACCCCTCAGCAGCTCGGAGAGTGTTACCTGTCTCATGCATTTGAAAAAAAAGACTGCACTATACCACACACAATACTAAATTTAGATTGTTTCAATGCAAAATGGCTTGATTTTCTTTCCTCTGAGTATACTTTAATTTTTAATAGACTGTGTTCGAATGTGGAGCATTGAATATTAACTGTATATGTGGTTTCCTCCCCATCAGTGTCGCAGCTCCAGCCTCTTCAGCAGCTTGCAGTGGTCAAGAAACAGTCAGTCTGCGTCAAGAAGAAAGGGAGGAAGCTTTCAGACCAGGTTGAGGTCAGCATCCAAGCTTTGACTGTGCTGTGCTTAGCTTGACACATCTGCAGAATTGCAAGCATCAGAAACAAGCTGACGTAGTGCATTAGCTTCAATTTGTTTTTTGACTCGACAGACACTGCAAGATCTCAAATATATTAGGTCAAAATTAACCTCCTTTCCAGACCAATATAGACAAATTAATGTTGACAGTTAAAAATGGATTTTCATGCCCTGTACGTTTTTGTGTAATTGTGTAAAATGCCAATTGTGTATGCAGTCTTTTATAATGTCTTATATTTCTCATATGTCTCTCAGCCTCCAGATGGTAAAGAGAACGTAATGGAGACTGGCTGGGAGTTCCAGCTGGATACGTCGGTGCTGGAGCAGTCCAGACAGAAAATCCTGCAGGTTCTCAACACCGGCTGCCTCAAAGACCTGAAGGGTCTGCAGCAGATCGGCGACAAGAAGGCGAAGCTCATCCTGGGCTGGAGAGAGATCCACGGTCACTTCACAAAGGTTGGTAGGGCAAACGTCGGGCTGAGAACTTGTTCTATCACGTACGGCAACACCTTGTCTTTAGTGTTATTCTGAATTCAGCGTTTGACAGGTGTAGATTTTTGTTTACTTGTGGTGAATTTATGTGTGTTTTGTTTTGCAGTTGGAAGATCTGGGAAAAGTTGAGGGTATGACAGAAAAGAGATTTTCCTCCTTCATGAAGGTAAGCGGAGTCTAAAGTGTAATATTTGGGGTTGTTCCACCACTTTTGCTTTCCTATTGGATAGTTTGCTGTTAAATCTGGTGGACAGCCACATCCTCCACACATAGTAAACACTGCAGCGGCTTATCATCAGCATGTTAGCATTTAGCTTAAAGCTCCACTCTGTCAGTACGACCTCACAAAGCTGCTAGTGTGGTTGTAAACTCTAGTTCACATACTTTATTTGATATATTCATTTTGTTATACATTAGGAATAAATGAATTATAACAGTAATACATTAACTGTTCTGTGTGTAGCATGAAAGGACCGAAAACATTAATTTTGTCGTACAACCTTGTGTTGTATAATAAATGCATTTTCTTGATTAAATGTACTATTACCATATTATATCTGATCATCTGTTATATTGCTGTTAATGTTTCTTTTTTTTCTTTTTCAGGCAAACATCCTGAGTGCCATGGGGAAATGATTTTATTGTTTTTTTTTAAATGTTTTTTTATGTATATAATTTCTTAAAGCGTTTGTCGTTTTTTGCTTTATTTTATGATATTTTTGTAGTTACTACTGTGTTCCAGCTGATGGTGCACTGTTGCTTTTAATAAAATGCTCACATGTCATTGAGTGTTTGTGTTTATTTCATGATCCTAAATACATCTGATGCTGGCTTTCACATATGTCCCTGTACAGTCTCTCAGATCAATCACCCTTTCTGGAGGGGGGGGCGGGGGGGGGCAGTCATCGCATATTTCCGGTTTGAAAAACCTAATTGAGCTCATTTTGTGAACTCTTGTCCTCTGCGGGACACAGGAGGACACCCTCTGTCACAGACTGCTGTTGTGCAGCATCACTGGAGAAATATTCAGTGTCAGAAGCTGGTGTTTGTTGTTGTTGTTGTTGTTTTGTAGTGGGTGAGGAGAGGAGAAAGCTATAATCCAGCCTTCCCTCCCCTCCCTCCCTTCTCCTACATCACGTAGTCTGCTTGATTTCACTTTTCATTTCACACACACACACACACACACACAGACACACACACACAGACACCCCTCCTCTCTGATCCACCCTGCCATCCAGGAGACTCCCCATCCATCCATCCCAGCACACTGCGCTGGAACAAGGCGCTACAACATCGTCTCAGCAGCTCTTCATGTAGGATATTCTCGGATATTCTCGGATTTTCTCTCTTAGATGAAAACAGCGCACGTCTGCAGACGCACTGTGGGGCTGTAGAGATGTTTGCTCGCGTCTGAAGCTCATATATTTTGCACCTGAGAACAACGTTACCACGATGCCAGAGCCAGGGACGCCCCGGCTGTGTTGAGACGGGATTAAAAAAGGTCAGTTTGATTTATCTTCTTAGCCATATTTTCCCTCCTTCCCGTGTGTGTGTGTAAAATGCTAAATCAGGCCATCAGTTATTTGTATTCAGCTATACTTTGCTTTAGATGCAAGCATTTAATACAAGCTGCATGTTGTTTTTTCTGCTTATCATTGCAATGTAGCAGCCCACATCCACTGAATTCAAATCAGCAGCAGCAGGCTAATTAATAAGCGCCCCCCCCTTCCTCCATCTCCTCCTCCTCCTTCACTCGTCTATCCGAGTGTTTTTCCTTTGTCCTCATCCTTTTTCAGCTCTGTCCTTTTTTTTTACCTTTTGTTCCGTGCCCAACAACCGGCCACCATATGCCATTTAGCGCCTGTGTACACATGATGAAATAATGGTATGTACTCACCTGCACTGAGCCCGTGGCCGATACTATCGTTTCAAAGGAACCTGCCTCCATCTGCCATGCCTTTGTACTCCTCGTGTCATTGTGACCTGCTTTTTTTTATTTCTTTTTTTAATGTGTTACCTGATATAACCAGTGGGCTATTTGAATGAGCTTTTGAGGCCTTAATATTTACAGCGTGACATGCGTTTGTTTTATCTGTTTACCTTGAGTCTTTATTTACAATTCATTGTGACATAAGGAGGGGTTTTGAATATATATTAAAATAAAAAGATTATAAATGTTATCTGAAGGCAGAGTGGATTATTCAAAGGCTTATCAGGATATTTAGAGTAAAACTCTAAATCAGCTATAAGCAGACTGTATTTAGGGGCTGTGTTAAAGTTACTAGAGTGAGAAGCCCAGAATTGGACCTCCCCTTGACTTTCAAAAGGGGAAAAAAAAAGGAACCCCTCCACTCAAAATCTCTAATTGGCTACTGAATTAGTAGAACGCATTTTACCATCAATAAAAAATCATTTCAGATGGTGTTTTCTTATCTAAACCTTAATAATACGCCACTGTCTGACCCACAATGGACAGTTTGAAACCACCTGGCACCTACATTACCATTAATTAATACAACTCTCCTGCTGCTGCCACACTTTAGTCTGTTTAGTTTAGTGTGTTATACTAGTAGTGGCTAATTTAGATTTCTTGCATCTCCCTCTGGAGCCAGAAAAGTGGTCTCCAAGACCTGTAAACAGACTTTAATTTGTAAAATCAGTGGAATTCCCATTTAATGGATTAAAAATGTTAACATAGCACCCAAAAAGGAATAGAATTAGCAATTGCTAACAATAAGAAACCGAAAACAACACAATAATATGCCGTGTTTACAAAATATTGAATGC